GCCACCTACTTCTGTCTGGTTTTGAAATCTTCATTTCTGCGAGTGTTACCTGATGTCTGCTATCTGGCTCTATGTTTGCAGTACTTGACAACAGTTGTGTGGTTGCTACACTTTCTCCTTGCCAATAGAGTATATATGTTCAGGATTTTTCTCTTATTCTATCCACAATGTAATTTAAATTCTCCTCCCAACTGTTATAATGTTCTTCTGAGGACTATTCTGGCCACATATGTGTTTTCTAAGAGTATTTTAGCAGCCATAGCACTGACACTATTGATCAGCAAAGTACAGTAGGAATTACTGCTTTTTGAGTTATGCATTTTCTTTGACATTTAGCTTTGGGATATAATATTGATCTTGTTAGAATTAAAACTTATCTCCTTCCTTCCATCTTCCCTCCTTTCATCTCTCCCTCCCTCTTCCTTCCTTCCTTCATTCCTTTCTTCCTTCCCTCTTCATTCTTTCATGTGCATGTGTGAATGTTTAAAGTGTGTGCTACATAATTATCTAGAAATTAGACACAAAGAATGACAAAGGGAATGAACCAATGAGACATAAGAACTCGGACGATGTCATTATCTGAAGGAAAGGTCATTCACATATATGATCATCACCTATGATAACCCTAAAACTGGCTCTAGAGAAGAGCTTCAGCTGTATTTACACACTGGAGATGCTTTTCACCTTGTGAAGACAACGTGGAGGTTTGCAGTGCATTTGATTGTTATGGACTTGGGAGCTATGAGCATTCCCAAATAAATCTGAAAATGGAAAAGATGTCAGTTTTCAAGAATAGTTGATTGATTGACTTAACAAGAATGCAAAGGTATTTTAGAGTATTTTCGTTTTGGAATTGCAAGGTAAATTTAAAATTTACCTTGATTTTTAAATGACTTCAAAATCAGTGTGTGTGTGTGTGTGTGTGTGTGTGTGTGTGTGTGTGCTGTCATCTTCACATTCATATGTGTGTTCTGGTCATTTCTTTGAGCCCTCCTGGCTTACTCACAATTTCATGAAGCTGCATTTGTAATGAAACACAGACTATAAGAATGGAAACTCTTTTGTTTCTCTTGGCTCATAAATACAAAACAAGACAACACAATCAGCCTTTAACACAGGGATTTTACAAGAATTTCATGTGTGTGTTGGGGGGGCAGGGTATGTCGGTTTTTTTTCCTCTAAACACAGAACTTAGTTTAAAAAAATGTATATTCTTTGCACTAGGGACACCGTGGTTGAAAAAAAAATACTTTCATAGAACTAAAAATATTGCCTTTAGAGCTTGTTGCTGTTTAAAAATTGGTAAGATTTCCAGAAAGTTGAGGATTTACATTTGAAAGAAGACAACATTAAACACAGACATGAGTGGAAGAATTCCAAACAGAGGAGAATGAAAGAGGAGACGCTTCTCAGAGGAGGCTTCAAACAGGCCTATGGCTCCTCACTTGGTACTTTCAAGGAAGCTACTGCCCTTATGGCAGGCAGATTTTTAACATAACTTTCATATTGTCAAAATTTCCTATTTGAAGTTGGAACTGATTAACATCTCTCTCTCTCTCTTTTTAATCTTTTATTTGATACAGGGACTTGCTATGCCGTTCAGGATTGTAGTGGTCCCCCAATCTCAGTCTCGTCACCACTGGGATTACAGGTGAGCTCTGCTACACCCAGTTTTGGGGCCCGCACAGCATGTACTGCTGAGGATTGAACCCAGGTCCTTTTGCTTGCCAGGCCGGCACTTACACCACCTAGCTAGTTCCCCAGCCCCATTAGAATTTCTTAACACTACATACTACTGGGAGAGGGAGTAGTGTTAGATTGATTGTTTATTCTGTTTATCTCAAAACAATGTAGTTCCACTGCATTAAGGTGACTGATTTTCTTTTGTACCACAAAATTGGCTTAGAAGTCATAGTAGTGGCACAGACTCTGGAATACTCAGGGACACTTTCTTCTTTAAAAGTCATAATCTTCCTGGAATTCATGTAGAGTAAGTTATGGCTATAGGGGCTGGGGAGAAAGCTCCACCGTCTAAGTGCCTGCCTGGCAAGCACAAGGACCCAGGTTGGATTCCTAGTACCACATGCTGTGCTGGCCACTAAAACCGGGCATGGTGGCACAGACATATAATTTTAGCACTGGGGAGGCTGAGACAGGAGGATCACTATGAGTCTGAGCTACATAGTGAGACCCTGTACCAAATCAATCAATCAATCAATCAATCAATCAATAATCAATCAATCTACGTTATGGCTATAATTTTACTCTTTGGGATACTGGTGGAAGAAAGAATGGCAAGTCTCTGTCTGTCTCTGTCTCCCTCTCTCTCTGTCTCCCTCTCTGTTTTTCCTCCCTTCCTTTCTTTTTCTCTGTTTTTTAAAACTTGAAGTGAACACCTAATCTGGAAGATAGATCTAAATTAAAATCTCAGTTTCTGAATTATCTGTGTTTTAATTTTAATACCTTTCAAATTCTGAGTTCAGTCATCTACAAAATGCATTTGATAATAGACTTCAAGGGCTGTGAAACAAATGGGATATCTAGGGCCAGCCAAATAGCTCAGTGGATTAAAGCACCTGCAAGCTGGTCCAGGGGCTGGGGTTTGGATCCCTGTGCCTGTGCGCCTGCACTGGCCCCTGGCCCTGGGGCTCACTGGAAGGGCAATTGGCACTGGGCACTGTAGTGCGCACCTGTAATCCTGTCACTTGTAAATAGGAGAATCACTAGGAGACCGTTCTAGTAGTGAGACCTTGAACACCCTGTAGACCCCTCCCTAAAATTCAGAAAAAAAAATCCAAAATCAAATTGGGTATCTATATGTAATATGTGGCATGCAGCAAACATCTGAATAATTTGGCTGAATTATTATTGCTAAATGTCTAGTGAGAAAAATTTTTTAAAATATATATGAATGTTTATTCCATTTGTATCAACTCCTGATACTAACTTTTGATCTTCACTTTCTATGAATTTATGAGAAAAACAGGATTTTAAAATTCTGTGTATTTAGTCTAAAATGGATGCAGATCAAAAGTATTGGTGCATTAGTGTCCTACCTATTTGAGAAAGTTTCATCTGTTGGGTAGAAACAGAAAAACAAGACAATCTATTGTTAAATGTGTCTCTCCTACAATACTGCAGAACACCAAGTGGCACCAGTACATGGTTGAAGAAAATATCTCAAGATTTCTAAAAAGGCCAGTAATAGCCTGGTATACAATGGTAACAAAATACTGACCCTGAATCTTCTGAATAGTCCATACTTTGTAAAGGAAGGTCATCTCCCATTTTTAGGATTGAAAGCACCTTAATACTGAGCATGATTTCTCCAATGCAAAAAACTCATAAACACAATCAAATGAGTCCACCAACCCTCTGGTTATATATGTTCTGCAGTAGGAGAGGCAGCATATCTGAGGATGGTGAACTCCGTTCCTGTTCAGCTATCTTAGAGTTGTTTCTTCACTGAATAGAAAATAGCCTCTTTGTAACCTGGACTGATTGATCCTAAGTCAAACTTTCAGGAAGGGAGTGGCAAGAGGAAGAACTTCAGGAGGAAATGCTTTACTCAGCTGACCAATTCAGAGGGTGTTACAGGGACTCAACAAACACTCTTTGAATAAGTGGATAAATAGAAATTTTTTCTAAAAGCAGAGTCAACCTTACCTTTAATGGTTCAATATTATTAACCCAAAAGAAAATGCATTCCTAATATTTTTCAATGACTTATATATTTGAAGTTTTAGAGGAATGCTTCTCATACTCAAAAGTATCACATATTAGTGCAGAGCATTAATTTCTTGGTCCCCTTTCAGAGCAACTGTCTTGGGGTTACATTAAAGCCTAAGAGAGAAAGGACCCATAGATCTACGCATGAGTGACTGAGCCAAAAGAGAGTAACTTTGTGTTCTTTTTAATTAAAGGAATTGCGTCTCTTCCCCATTTCTATATCTGCTTCTACACATTCACATGCATGCACAGGCACACAAACACACAGGCACACAGAATCACACACACAGACACACATACACACACACACACACACACACACGATATCCTAGTATCCTTTTTTTTTTTTTGCTAATATATAAAGGAAATATCCTTGCGAAGAATTTGCCCCTTTACTCAGATTTCTCTCAGGAAGAATCTGAACTATTGTAACTTATTTGATTTCCTTTTATAAATACAAGCATTTATTTTTTTTTATTCTCATTTTTATGCCCAAACATGAAAATAAAGACATAAACACATGCACAAAATAAAATTCAAAGCTGAAAATAAATGGTTTATTTTAAAAACATGTAAATGTACACATCAAATGAAAAACAAAAAATACAAAATTCATGAATAAAATTAAAAAACCTTAAAATATTAAAACTATCAAATAAAAGTGGGTAAATAACAAGTGGAGTAATCATGTTTCTCAATACAGTGGAATGTTCTTTTTTTATTAGAATACCAGGAAATCATCTAAGTTACAGTACAAAAGAGAATTAAATAAACTGTGATTGTGTGATTAGACACTATGTAGCACGATTCTTTGTTACCCTGGATGCAGAAGGTCCTTAGAGCATTGATCTAAAACCATTAGTTTTTGTTTTTAATTAAGAGACATGATGCGATTTTGCTCTATATATTATAAATACGTGTCCCTGTATCCCTCAAATAATCTGTAGTGGGCATCTTCTGAAATATAAAAGACAAAAAACCCAAAAACTTGAAACTAAATCCTGTTAGGGTAAGACATTATTACTTAGGGTTGACATGCTCTATTTTATAGCATTTGGAAAAGCTCAGTACCAAACATAGAGATATAAATAGAAAAAAATCAAGTAATTTCTAGGAGTACCAAATAGGATTTGGGATAAATATGGAATGGAAAAGTGCAAAAGGAACACAGCATCACAAAAGAATAACCCCCAAGTGCTGAGACTATTGATTGTTCACCTAAAGCTCATGCAAAACAAAACCAAAAAAAAAAAAAAAAAAAAGAAAAAGAAAAATGATGGTGAAAGCTTATCTGGAGTCAGTACTCCTCTGGCATTGGGATTAGAGTTAGAAGGGGGAATAATAGTAATAGAGAAAAGCATTAGTAAGGTTAAACATAATGGTCCAAAGAAGGACTTCTTATGTATAATTTTTGTGAAGATTTTACGGGAGAAAACTTTTTTCAACTTAATATCATCAAGAACTCATATAGAAAAATGGTTGATTATAGACTACAGCACTGTTGGACAACAAAATATAGGAGATAATTTTAGAGTTGCTTATTAGTGTGTATACTACTAAGATAAGGGCTTTCCTTAACTTATGGATTATTGTGTTTCCTAAGATATTCAGAAGCAATTATAGGTGAATTTATTGTCCTCTATTATTCAACAGTCCCCATATCGGAGAACTAAGATTAACTTAGCTTAGTTTCTCAATGTATCTGCTGGGAATATTGTAGAAAGTCAATTAATGCCTGATGACTGACTAGTGTCTAGCAGGGACTGTGCATACTCCAAGCACAACTGACTGCACTGCAACCCCTATCAACTGTAAGCAGTAGTAAGTTATTATACTAATCGAAAGAAGGTAAGGACGAGTGGCTACTACCCCTCTGTGAGCTGTAAATTCACAACTGTTAATGAACTGAAAACACCAACACAAACACATAATAGTACAAACACAATTTAAAACCTGCACAAAAGTTCTAGTGGCTTGTAATACTGTTCCAAGTTGCACAGGTAGAAGTACACACACATACCTACCAATTATGGATATTTGTATCCATACACACATATATGAATTTTATCAGCATGAATATGTGTGTGTGTGTGTGTGTGTGTATTCTACATGTACTATAGATGTTCACTATTCTGTAAACTCTGCGCTCAGTCTGATTTTGCCAAATCTAACATATAGTAAAATTTTACTTAAAAGCAAGTTTAAGTGATAGTAACGTAATAGGCAGACTTATTTGGAATAAAACATGACCTGTAGGGGTGATTAAATAATGAGGAAAATTAATTATCTTAGAATATTAATGCTAAGAGCACCTCTCAAGGTCACTAAAATTTGTAAGAAAGAGGCACAAAGGATGAGAAATCGCTTTTCTAATTTTCACATTAGCAACGCTAGGATTAAAAAAGACAGACTGCCAAACATCCTCTTCTGTGCTCTGTAAGTCCAAAATGCCCTAAAAGCATTTTGCTGCTTTCCTACTTTCCATTAGCACCAGTAGGGGTTTTCTCCCCAACTGCAGCAGGGGTAGAGCCACCTGCAATGTCTTTTGTGCTTTGATTTTTACCTGCACACTCTGAATGATTAATAGTAGAACTTAAGAGTTAGACACATGGATATAGTTTACTCTGTAGATAACTTGGAGCTGACTACACTAAAACAAAAATTATGATCTACTTTTTCAAGTTTACAAACATGATGTTAAGTACCTGAGATGAGGGAAAATGTGGAACAACAATAATTCTAGTATGTTCTTAAATCAATCATAAGGAACATCTTTAGTTACACTGCTTCCTATGGTCCGAAGTGGGCGGAACCCTTGCAGTGGTGGTGTGTTCTACAGTCAAATGAACAAACTTACCCTCAGCTAAAATTAATTTATGCCCTGATTATATTTTGATTTTTTTAATGGATAAGTAAAAAAACAATAAAAGATAAACAATAAAAGATTTATAATCTCATAATACTCTTGACAACAGTTAATGCATCTTCAAAGGATGTTTAAATCTACAGGCAAGGTTGTTCTGTAATGTTAAATGAGAGAGAGGAGAGGGAGAAGAAGAGGAAGAGGGAGGGTAAGGGAAGGCAGAAGGAGGGGTGGGGAGGGGGAGGGGAATTCACATCAACCAAGGCTTTGCCTGCAAAAAACCTGTGTAGTGACATCAGACACTGGTGACACACTGGTGACAATATCTTTCTAAACCTCTGTAGTGCCTGAGAAGCAGGCCAACGAACCATACAGACACCCTGAATGTATCCCCATGAGGAGGCTTAGACAGACTTTTTTTCTGCCTATTAAACCAAGAACTGGCAGTGATGAAAGGGGAACTCTTCCTTCCAGGAGTACCCTTTGTTCTTTTCACTCATTTCATTTCCCTTTCATACATTTTTCAAGGATGAATAAGAAAGACCCTGCTTGTCACTGCTAGAGCGCTTGGGGCTTTTCTTCACTGGCATGGCCACCTGCAGCTGCTTCCAGAACCTGCCCTGTGGATGCTTGGATTTCTCCCCTTTCCATTTAATGACCGTGAGCACCGTCTTAGCCCTCTTCAGCTCTTTCACCTTCGTCTCCTTCACAGCTTTGTACTGTACTAAAATGACGTTGATGTTGCCCCGAGAGGCCATATTTTCTAGGCCAGCCTTGAACTCCAGGAGGGCTTGGGTTCCCTGGAGCACGTAGTTGGGGCTTAGCACAACCAGCAGGCGTCTGCTTTTCTGAATGAAGCTCAAGGTCTCATCTGTGACAACTGGGAAAGAAAACACCATGGGGATTAGTGTTGGCTAAGAACTCGCCAAAACCACCAGGGCTCAAGGAGCAAACGTAGGGGACCTCAGATGACAGTCTGAGAAGGGAGGTAATTTTTCTTTCACCAGCAACATTCTGAACAATGTCCTGCTGTCCACTAACAGTCACGCTGTCCAGTAACTGCCATTTTCCTAAGGGGAAAAGGAAAGTGCACACAGGTATATCCTCCTCCCAAAAGAATTCCAACCAAGTACGAGACTGTGACCGCAGGCTTCTAAAGTACTGTTGGAGCCACGGGGGTGAGTTGTCCTAAAACAGTTTCCTCAGACAGCGTGGCATATCATGGCCCTATCAAATGAGTTTTGATCCCTTCCCGCCCCCACAAGACATCAGTGAACAGGCTCTCTAGTATGAAAAGCATTCATGAAGTTACATATTACAGAAGCAAAGTCATAAAACTTCTTTTTACCAACACAGCACAAGAAAGGCAGAATCGTCACCTTTGGCAAGTCCCTCTCTATGTGTGGACATTTCCTGGACTCAGACCGATATCACTATGTCTTGGAATATGAACTTCAAAACTTGTAGCCAATCAAACTTTTTCAACTACCAAGGCATTCCCAACTGCGGCGCTAGCTCTCTTTGCTCAAGATGCCTATTTCTTCCTAGATCTTCCTCCTGGAAGTCCCTTCACTGCTGTAGAGCCATGTGTTTCGGCAGCTGCCAGCTGATGTGTCTGCTTTCACTGACTGCTTTCACTAACTGGCAAATACTTTCCCCAAGTAATAAAAAGTAGGAAAATGAAAATGCAGTATAATTTTATCCCGCTGTCAGGGCTCTGATTAATTCCCATCACTAAATTCTTCAGGCTAATCTCTCTTTACAGATGCTTAGCAAGGACAGTATAATCCTCTGCGTGGGTTAGAGATACTGCTGACTCCAGGTAACAGGGCTTTGTGAGCCCCTATATCATGACTGGACACTCCCCAGGCAGTCACTTTGATTCTTAATCTTCACAAATACCAAAAGTTTGCAATTAAAATCTAGCATGTACAACATGGAAAAGCACCCAGGAATAAGACACTATCTACTCCAAACAGCTTCCTTGGAGGCTGACCATATGCTGTAGGCATGGAAAAAGACACAGAGGCAAAGTGGACTGAGGAAGAGAGGCAGGCAGAATCCAAAGTGATCCGAGTGCCTTCTTCTCAAAGCAAAAGTAATTAGGCAGAACTTGAGTTCCCCAAAGAAGTATTAACCTTCTTGGAGATTCTCACCTAGTTATGCAGTGTTTATCTTTCTTTAACACTTCACATAGTAACTAAGTAATTCTTGAATGGGTGAAGAAATTAATGAATAAATGATGCAGTGAATTACACATGAAAATGAGTGGATTGTATCCTTTGACTATATAATTAAGTCATCATTTCCTGCTGAATTTAGGAAGGAGATGCTTCCTACAGGACACAAGCATGATGAACTTCTGGATGACTGGAAAGATCATGCAACTGATCCATCCAACTCCAATGAGAATGTAATTTTAAGTCTTTGTCTCAGTGATCCACATAATCCTCATAATTTTTTCAAAACCAAATGATTAATGTAAACAGGACTTTCGAGGAAGAAAATTTTAGCTTGTCATGCTTGGGTCAGAAACACTACATACATTTCAGAAGCAGGATGTTTCACAGCAGGTTTATAAATATTACTTATTTAAAAACACTCAAATCATTATGTAGGGCACTGCCAGTTGGGCTTATTTTTATATCACCAGAAGACATATTTTTGCTTTAAAGTATCCAGCAATTTAAGTTTTTCTTTTTTAAACCTAGTAGAATACACTGGCCTTATACAATGTTATACTACATCTCCAATTAATAATTGGTAAAAAAGAGATTGCAAAACTAAAGGAAAGGCGAATATGAGCAGCACTAGTTTGCCAGAAAATAAAGGAAAAGAAATGCATAAATGGCAAAGGGAAATATTCTACCAATTGCCGGTGACATATTGTCTCTTGCAACTCAGTTTTATAAAACCAATTACACTTCAGGGTGCAAAAGAAACCTATTTTGTAAGTTTAGTCTTCATAAAAAAAGAAAATTCTAGGCAAATCAAAGTAGATCTACTAAACATAAAATTCTGAATGTGAACAAACAGAACCCTGAAGGTTGGGGTACTTGATCAGTGCCCTAATACACCGTGTGCCCACTTTTCTGATGAGGTGTTCTTGAAAATTACAAGGGCAAATAGTTTGGAACCATAAATCAGGCTGAATACTATATGAACTGTCATAAGGTTAAATCAGGCTGAATACTATACGAACTGTCATAAGGTTTCAGTTCTATATAACTCTCTATTCCTTTAAAAACTGTATATTAGGCATCTAAAGTTGCAAATACAAGCTATGAGTCTCATATGTGATCCAAAGTTAAGGGTCACCTTTGCCCTTCAGAACAGTGCCACTTGCACCTGGCGAAAATATCTTCGGGCCAGGAAGATAGCTCATGAGAATAAGGGCCTGAATTCAAACCTTGGTTCCATAAAAAGAAAAAAAGAAAAAAGAAACACTACAAATTTTGGGCTGGGGAGATGGCTCAGTAGAATAAGCACTTCCCTGGCAAGCACAAGGGTCTCAGTTCAATCCCTGGTTCTGCCAAAAAATAAAGTAAAATAAAATAAAATGCCTACTTCCTCCAGGTAGACTGTCTCGATCAAAGATGCACAGCTTATATCCAAACTCATTCTCCAAAACTCCACGAAGGGTCAGTAAGACGAATTCTTCTTCTTCAGCATTTCTTGCATAGGACACATAAATATCATACTCCTTTCCATCTACCAAAAGAGCACAGATCCAATATAAATTAGGAAAGTTTATTAATAGCATTTTTTTTCTTAATTCTAACTTCTGCATATTGGACAGTTTTATTTTCTACAAGCATTAATTACGTGACAAATTCAATGTGATTTTCTACTTGCAACAGTATCCAGGCAAAACAGCTATCTGAATTTAAATTTTATCTATATGTCTTTAAAATTACCCTGAGAGCTTCCTCAGGCTTGGTAAAGCATACTTGTCAGTGTGTTATAAAAGTGTGACCCTTGGGTCTACATTTAGGCCCTGAACCCTTTTGCTCTCTCAGGGCCTTCTCCTGTGTTTTTCTTTTTGGCCATCATGAAGCAAGCAGCTCTTCCGTAGCATTCCCTTCCACCATGATGTTCCTGCCTTTGAGATAGTCAACTATGAACTAAATCCTCTGATGCCAAGAGCCCAACTAAACCTCTTTTCTTTCAAATTATGGTTGTCAGGTATTTTGTACCAGTACCAGAAAAGCCGACTTACACAGTTTCTTAATCTAATCTCACTTAGTTGAGTCTCTGTTGCAGAAAGAATGAGATCTGGCCCACTCAACTGTGAATTAATAGAACAAGGATGCAAAATATATGCGCAAGCGTTTAATGCCATGCAGAAAATTCCTACTCCTTGTCATAGTACATCATTCAAAAATACATCGGTATTATAAATCGAGTAAGACTTTTTGACAGAGTTTAAATTATACCTGAGGAGAACTACAATTAAAATGTACTTCTATTCAATGGAATAATCTTTCCTCAAATTGTCTAACTATAGAAATCACAAGTCATAGAAATAAAGATTATGTGCTTCCGGCAAAACCCTACTGCATTAGAATCCTTATGAGGCAGACCTAATCTCTGCTCAAATGCTTGTTTCATGCTTAAAGGCAATTTTTTTTTTTTCACTAGATCAGTGCCTTGTAAACTAATGCACACATGCATCAGTTGGGAATACGGCTAAAATGTAGATTCTGATTTAGTGGGGATCAGATCTAAAATTTTCTGTTATCAGATGATGCAGATACTTCTGGTTGAGGGGTCACTCTTGACTACGGATAGTGTGAACTTGCACTATGCAATATTGGTACACCAACATGTCTACTGAACTCCTGAACTAGAACTAGTGTAGACTGTGGTGTACTGTAAGTAAGCAATAAATAGATTTTAAATTTTAAATATTTCAGTGATAAAAGGAATGTAAAATGTCTCTCACCTTTTTAACATTAATTAGGTGTCGAAACAGTACTATGACTATAGAAAATAAAGTCATTACCCTTATGTATTTCCTTTTGCTTTTTCTAATGTGGGCATTAGAAAAAATTAAATTTCATGTATGGCGTCTTAGTTACTTTTCTTTGTTGCTGAGACAAAATATCCAACATTCAAAGTTAAAGGAGGAAAAAGTTTATTTCGGCTCACAGCTGGTAGGGGTTTCAATTCATAACTGCCTGGCTCCAAGGCAGGGTGGTATAGTAGAGGGGCTTCATGAAGGAGAAATGTCATGGCAGGCAGAGAGAGCACAAGTCTTTGAGCACCAAGCCACAACCACGTCCACAGCTCTTTCTGTCATTTGAATCTTACTCAGGCTACTCACTCTTACGGCAAGTAGCACACACACACCACTAACCCTAGTATCATACCTTGAATCAACCCCAGCATAACATCTTAATCCCAGTTGCATAAACCCTAGATCCAGTCACTTGCAAAAGGCCCCACCTATGACCACATGAGGCGTTGATCGGACATCTAGACACCAGCAATGACCAATTTTCTAAGGATGATAGAAGAGATTTATATGAAACTTCCTTTCCTTACCTAGAATGGTTTCATCAGTTCCAAAGTGAGCCCGATAAAAGAGGACCATCTCCAGCCAGTAAACGTGGTACACAACAATAAGAATTACCACCAGCAGGACTGTCGCTCCAAAACCACATGCCAGTTCCACTGTGTATCTTGGTGCTACGAAAAGAAATCATAACAAAGACAACAGTAAAACCAAATTGATTTCCATTCAGTGATCGTGTTCCTCCATCACCCTGCAATAGCTGGAAAAGTCAAGTGGCTGAATCATGCAACTGACCTGTGTGTGTCAATAAAGGCGGTAGAGGTGAGGGACTGCTTTTTAAATATTAGGTTGTGTCATATCTATTTCCATACATGAGTGTCTAGTACCTGGTGTGGAAGGTTTTTAAATTGTAAGGTAAGTTTTGTAGGCTCTAACACAAAATTTAAGGAGAATCAATATTGGGAAGGATTCAGAAGAGTATCTTATTCACTGCAGTGTTTCCTACATCTTCTCAAAACTGTATTTGAATAGTGTCATTCCTTTGTCCATCTCTGAAGGTGAAGTTACAAGACCCCTACCTAGAGAATCCCATCCTGTTGGCAGAATTTTCATTGTTGAAGCAGCTAGTTTGACTAAAACTTTAGTGAGTTTCCATTAATGTTAGTTTTCAGTGTTTCAGATGGCACGAATTTGATTTTTTTTTTTTTTAATTTGCATCTGGTCTTCAAAAATCTTATTTTCTCTGGGGATAAAAAGGAGTCATCCACCAAATTCTAAGCATGCTTGGCTCTGGAAGGATCCCCCATGTCCATGGTTTTAGGATACACATTTCAAAGACTGAGTTGAGAAATCTTGCTATGCACATATTTCTACATAAAAGGCCTTATTTTCAAATCAAAGACACCATAGCAGATTTTTTTTTTAAACTATCAGGAAAGAGTGAGGTAATTTTGATTTAACTGAAAATTTGATATTAACTCATTATCCTTGTAAGAAAGCCAGTTAGAAGCCACATTAGGAGCCACTCTCCTATCTCGCTTACTTTTAGCTATTTTTTTCTAAAATGTCAGGAATATTTAATACCAAACCTTTGCTCTGCCATGATTCTGGGAGGAATCAGCCTTTTCTTTTTTCAATCTTCAGGTTTATGTGCAAGTATCATTACTTTGTATGAGATTTCATAGAATAAAACTTTTAACTTGAGCTCTGCCAGTAGAAATTCCCATTCCTCTTGTTTATGATTTTATCATAGCACTGCTCTTACCCTGTAGTCTGTCTGCAGGCTTGCTTTTGCACTCCTTCACTCTTCCCTACACTACACATTCACAGTCTTCCAAGGGGAGACTTCTTTTTTTCCATGCTACCACTAGAACTCACAGTATTTTATACAACATTTCCAGACAACCCTCTGTACTTCCAATATTTAAAAGAAGCCTACTCTTACACTAGGTATCAAAAACTTCTGGTTATTATATTAGCTATGATAACCAAATGTATGAGTTTCTAGAAGGAACACAATATTTCCTGTATCTGAATAAGGAGTGATTTTCATTACTGATAAGTTGGCTCGCTAGTTAGGTTGTTTTTTTTTTTTTTTTTGGTGGAACGGGGGATTGAACTCAGCCCCTTGTGCTTGCCAGGAAAGTGCTTATCCTACTGAGCCATCTCCCCAGCCTGCTAGTTAGTTCCTGACATGGAATGATGGTTAAGACAGAAATAGTGTATACGCTTTTGGAGTTAACATTCTGAGGCAAGGAAGTGAGGAAATAAAGCCAAAGATATGTTGATTTTAAATAGTCATGAATGCTAAAAATAAAGTAGTAGAGGTGACTGAGCCACCAGATTTGCCTGGTGGATGAATCTTAGGTAGAGTGGTGTGAACACCCAGAACATTGTAGATGTTAAGTGTCTGCTAAGTCAAGACAGGAAGGGTCTCGCTCAAAGCTGGGACAGCAACTGAGACTCTCCAGGGATCCTTCTACAGTATGTCCAAAAGTTTAATTATTGAACATATACTAATGGAAAAACATGACCTTTAGAGTCATCACCTACCCTATGGAGAAAACACTGAACAGCCTAAAGTTGAACCTGACCATATCTTTAAAAAAAAAAGGCAAGCTGCATAGCTGTCAATTCATTATCCAAGATGCAGGATATTAATCCTGCCCCAGGTATAGCCTGACACTCAGCAGTGCAAAATTATCATCAGGTAGTCTTGTATTCATTCCATGAGAAATGGTCTTTCAACACCAGGAAACTCCATCACACAATGCCAGAAGCAATGCCAGTGTAGTTACTGATCATTTACTAGGATCAGTTTGGGCAGCTGGCATAAAAATTGTTGTGTCTCCAGGATTTCTGAGTATGTATTATGTTAACAGCATACTGGGATAATCCTGCTGCTGTTTTCCTTATCTGCTCAGTTATTTGAGCTCTCTCTGAATGGACAATTTGTTTATCTACACAAACTCAGGCAAGGGCTAGAGAAGGTCATGGGCTAGGCTTACCTGAAAGGGTCTTTTTCTAAATGTCAATAGACATTTTGTTTAATGGACAAGAGATCAATTACTCTCATAAATTTCTCTGGGCCACCTTCATTTTACTACTTCCTGTTTTCTTTCTTTTTTTTAAATTTCCTATTTTATTTCTAAGGGAGCTTTCACATTCTGAGTCACAGTCACATGTGTCAGACACAGACTGTATTTTGTGGAGCTCCTTAATATCATGCACTCTCAAATGCTGTTCAGGGCCGGGCACATAGCTCATTAGGCGTAAGTGCCTGCTTGGCAAGCAAAGATCCTAAATTCAGTCCCCTGTACTGTGGTCAAAATGACAAAAAACAAAGCAAAACAAAAGACCTCAAGCACTATTTAATGAACCAGACTCTTAAATCTCATACCAGTCTGATTCTTCCACATGGTTGAACTGAGTGCAGGAAGTGCTGTACAAGGCTTTCAGGTAAAGTAGTGCTAAGTTACAGTAAACAGTGTCCCTTGGTCTCTATTTTCGGTCTGCCCCAACTAGAATTCCCAGCATTATGGAGCAATAATTTAACCCACAACCAATGGGAGATAGGTGATGCAATTTGACTCCTGCAGTCCTTCTCTGTCTAATTTCACTATTAATCTAACTCAAATTGTAGCCAAGTGCTTGCTTTTACGTATTGAGTCAGGCTTCCTCTTTTCTTTCTGCAGTTCTATAGTAAAATTTGTCTCCAAATTATAAATCTCTAGCCAATTACCTTGGGGCAAAACTTTTCAACACCTCACCTCTAATTTCTCACGCACATTGAGTTCTAGTCCTACAACTATCCATCTCCTTGGAAATCTTACTTATGCATCTTGACTGCAGTAATTACAATCTTTCCTTCTGGAATATTGAATTTTCTAGCCAAATACTAGTTTCTTAGACTCTCAAGTGTTCCTTGTGGCTACTCACTGCTAAATTCCAGGGACTTCCTTATAATTTTTAGAACTACAGTAATGACCATTTTCTTGCTTACGGTGAAGGACCTTTGTTTAGCAGCCCTAACACTCCCAAGAGACTGTGCCTTCAAAGCAGGACCAATCCAGCCCTACAGAAGGAGGCATTTTTGGGATTACTCTTATGCAGATACATGAGATGATGAAACAATGAGAAAATTATTATGTGAGAAACTCAACTAATTGGTGGAATAATTAAATTTTATAGTTGCAAAAATGTGGATGTTCTATGAAGAATGTGAAGAACAAATAGGAAATATCAAGGAAGTGTTTGAACGGAAAAACTAAAGTGAAAAAAAATGAATTTCTTTCTTTTTTTAATGTATTTGGTACAGGTTCTCGCTATGGAGGGTGGACTCAGTGACCCTCTTGTTTTCAGCCTCACCAGCACTGAGATTATAGGCATGCATCACCATGCCGGGACTCGGTTGCCTGCTCAGCATGCAGAGAGGAGGGGGCAGGGCTGGCATGGCATGTGGGGGGGGATTGAACCCCAGTCCCTGTACTTGCCTAAGCAGGTGCTTAGTCCACTTAGCTATCTCACCAGCCTAAAAAAATGAATTTCTGAAATAAAAAATGTTATATGTTAGAAATTATGAGTGAAATTATTAAGAGATATTATACGCTACCAAAACAAAGCAAAAACAAATGGATTTTAAAACTGAGAATGTCAGTTACCTGAGAGAAACTACTGAGCTGTATACCATAAATAAAATTTCTAGGACTAAAATAATCAAAGAAGCAGGATGATATATTTAAAGAAATAATGGCTGAAAAAATTCAGTCATTAAATGAAAAATATAAACTTGCAGAACAGGAAAGGATAATACCAAAGATACATAAGAATACAAGCCTACTTAAGGACATGATAACTGTTCAAAGTCAGTGAAGAACAAAAACATTCCCAAATTTTCCCTAAGAATGAGAAATGAGACATACAAGAACAATAATAAACAAAACAAAAGAAATTGCCCAACTCACCTTATAATTCATATTACCCAGGAGAAAATAACATTTTAAAGAGCTAAGATAAGGGGGCCGGGGAGA